CTTTAGGATAACTTATTGGAAATTTCAAATCAGCAATCAGGAATTCTGATGAATTTAATAGTTGCTGCTAAAGGAGTAGACACAGAAAGTGAGAATTAGCAAATGTCGGTATCATTTAGATTTAATCATATTTTCCCAGGAACCCAGTATGTCAGCTGAGATTAATTTATCATGTCATGTGACCATCAATAATTCATTCATTTCTTTTTCTTGACATGTTCCAGCTAGCACATGATTCATTTATTTTTAGTTAAGCTTACTAAGTTGTTGAAATAATTAGTGTGAAACTTTCCACTGACTTTCCACTGGAAGAAGCTAAAAAAGACTTAGTTTCTTCAAAGTTATAATGGAATAGAGAGAAAGGATGTGATATATGAAGTTTCAGCTTTATTACAAGCTGACATATTATGGGAATGGAAAGATTAAGTTCTAACCACATTCTATTTCATAACTATAAGTCAGACTTTTACAAAGAATGTATTATTACTTTAAAATGCAGAGACATTTTGATAGTGAAATGCTGTGACTGTTTTTTTTGACCTTTAATATCCATATATTCAGATTTTTCTTTATAGCAGGAAGGACTGACAATGGTTTTCATAACACTAGACTCATGTAATCTAATAAGTCTGGGAAGCTTCAGCAAGATGCCTACAGCATCAGTTCCCAACACTGGGAAATAAATCATATTACTCAAGAATACTTAGAATTGCTTTTACTCATAGAAAAAAAAAACATTGGAAAAAGGACAGACAACATGATTCTTGCAAGTAGAAACAATAAATCATACTAAAGAATTTTTTTATTAAAATTAGGCTGGAATAAACATTCTGAGTGATTTTTCCAGCAGAATGTTGGAACACCCAGTACGTACCATTATAAATATCATGTCTTTTTAAAGAAATAGTTTTTTGCCACCAGTTTCATTAGCATTGGAGAATGCTGTTCATTCTATGTCAAAAGCTTTTTTTTTTTTTTTTAAATCCTTGTCAGCCCACTCTTGTGACAATTGGATGTGGCATTTGGGTTTCTATTGACCAAAAGTACAAAGGTTTACAGATCAGTGAAAGTATAAAAATACAGGGGACAGAGATCTATTCCCTTCTGAAATGCACTCTTAACATTTTGTCTTACTCTGTTTAATTGATGCTTTGTAGCACTGTAGTCTGGAAGAAAAGTGTTTTTTTTTTTTTTTGCTGTGATGCTATCATTTTCATCTGTAAAGAAAATATCTGTGTATTTTTTTATAAGTAAAACAGGATTTATACAAGAAGTGATGGGAATGGAAAATATTAACCTAATGGACTCCTTGTACAACATTAAAATCCTATTTGTACTTCAGTTTAGTTTTTTTATTTTTCATTATCTAGTTCTTAATGTTACTTTTTGTTTATATTTATACATCTAAACTTCCAGGCATCATTTTTAGTTTTTGTATTTAGAAAGAATGGCACTTAGGGTAGTGCAGTTCAGTGAATATTAAATACAATTTTGTTCAGTTACATGGATAGAACAGAAATATTCGTAGTTCAGGATTGAACTGTGGGGTCCTTTATACTCTTTGAGCTTGGTAGTTTTCTTGCGGAGATTTGTTGTTTTCTTGCAGATATACTCATAATGTTCCCTAGTTTGGTAATTAAATGTATGCGAGAAAACAACCAAGCTCAGAGAGCACCAAGGACCCTATATTAGATGGTTTTAGATTGGTTGAAAATAAAGTTTAGAGCTAAGCATTGAAAGTTAGCCTCTCCCTAGCTGATCAGCTCTATTTATTTGAATAATTCATGTAGAGGAGTTTCATTTATTGGATATGTAAACAAGTATCCATTCTATGAACATTTTTTTAAAGATCCACTTTCAAAGGCCTTTCTTAACAATGAGATTATCTGTAAATCATCTATTGCTTTCTGTAGTTAGTCATATTAATAAGGGAAGAATCATTTGAGATTTTTGGAACACCTGTGCTTGAAGTACTGCTAGTGGACAGCATCAGGTGATAGATAATTATCCAAGGAAGGGTCTTCTTAATTGTGATACCCAGAGTTTCAGATATCATGGAAGCTAAAAAAAAGATGCAGTTAGAGGAGCAAATTTATCTTCATTCAATTGATAGCAATTACTTGCTGGATTAAATATCTTTCACAGACAGAATCGTGTGTCCTTAGATGGAAGATACTGGATTCAAGCCATTGTCATTTGTGAAAATTGCAGGTGTACTATATTGAATAGTTAGATGAGGCTGAGGTCAAACTTTAGTATTTAGAGATTAGCAACATTGTCTTTGGACATGCCATATAGACAACTATAGGTGTTTCATTCACACTTATATAAAATCCTTTTAAAACAAAAAAAAACAACAGGGAAAATATTGAATTAGCTTTAAAGCAGAATTATGCTGCAGGGACAAAAAAAATCTTCATATTGTCTGAAAAAAGTCTGTCTGAAACATTTATTGGAGTTGGCAAATTACTAAGGCATCATCATCATAATCATCATTCATTGAATATATAAATTTGAAGTTGGTCCAGTGAATTAGAACATTTTACAATTGATTAGATGTTATAGTGTAGTACAGTGCTACACTATACATATATGCATACACAGTGCAGTCTAGTGCAGTTTTTATTTATTTTATTGATCTTTCTGTGAACTGCCTAGGATAAGAGGGAGGGAAGGCTCCATTCTGCAACAACTTATAATGAGGGTGGGCTGCTGGGGGTTCGCAGGGTTCAGGAGATCCTCTAGCTATGATTCTGCACAGTTTGGAGAACTCCCAAATCCCACTCCTGGCTGGCCCTGCCCACCCCACTCCACCCCTCCCAGGAGTCACCACACAGTCCATTTTGGATGCAGGTAAGTGCAGGGCGTGCACGGAAGCTCAGGGAGAGTGAAAACGGGCCCTCGAAAAGTTCAGGAAGGCTAGAAATGGGTCCATTTCCAGCTTCCAGAGAGCCTCCGGAGCCCAGGGAGGCTCAAAAAAAGCCTCCATAGGCAAAAATGCCCCCCCCACCACTATGGTGCAGGAGGCCAACTAGACCACGCTCACTATAGCCACACCCACACAGCAACTGGGCAGAGAACCCGTTGCTAAAAATTTTTGAAGCCCACTGCTGCTTATAGTTATTGCTATAGCAGCAAGCACAGCAATGAAAATGCACAATATATTTCTTCTGATTGTGGTAATACCAGTTGTATTAGAGCTAGTTGGATTAGATCCATCTTCTTTCAAGCTTTTTATCAACACATGTGAAATCTAACCATCTAGGGCATATCTGATGTTGCATTCCCAAGACAATTGATTCCCAAATTAGTGTAATGCTAAGCAAAGCAGAATTCTCAACTTTCAAACAGGAGTCCTTGATTATTATTAATTTATGAAACTTTTTATATCTTTGGCAATATTGTAAAATGCTTAAAGAAGGAGAAGATAAGATTGTGAACTTTAGCACCTTGGATTGTCACTGAGTGGGGTAGAGCTATTGTGGTTGAGTCATTGAGGTGTAATAGTTGGAAAGTTGGATTAGAACTGGATATATTCAGGTGCAATTCCTTATCCAGCTATGGGTGAGTATATAAATCACAGTTCTTTTAAAATTACAGATTCAATAGTTTTTATCAAATATATTAAGGCAAATTTGATAGATTTGTACAACATGCTAACCCATAACCAAACAAGCCACACTGTGTGTGTCATAGTATGATGTGAACTGAGCATTCTTTGAGAAAATAGTAATGGTGCAAGTGAAATGTTGGTGCGTTTTAATAACTAAAATCAAAAGTTAATTCTAACAAAATGTGTTTCTTTTTTGTACTTTGTGATATCTTTATTCATATTTGCTTAGATGATTCATGTAGACTAATTTTAATTCAGTGGATAAGTGCTTGAAGGTGGCAGCCTATTTCTTCAGCTGCCAGAACTGCTGGCAGCAGGAAGTACAAGGCAATTAAGAGAATGTTTACTTTCAATAAGCACTGTTTTCTTTTTTTAAAAAACAACAACCCATAACTTGAGTGATAAAGTGTATGGCAGAGGATGCCGCTGGGATTATAGTTTTATGCTCTTTTCCCTGGGAAATACCTTCTGTTGAACTTAATGGGGCTTACCTCTGGGTGCCTAGGCTAAAATTGGAGAAGTGGCATTGGGTTCTAAGTGAAACTTTTCTCAATCTTTGTATGAACATTCTGTTCATCATCTATTTAGCCTTAGACTGCAGAGACAGATGCAACTTTCTTCCTTCTTTCCATGGGCTTTGGAAAAAAATTGTTGAGATCAAATCTGAAGGCCCTGCTCATCTTTAATGTCTTTTGTTTCTTGGCATTGATTTTGTGGATAATGGCCATTTTGAGCTCTCTCATAAGAAAGCTTAAATGTTCATCATATTTCTGTTCACTTCCTACTTCAGTATATTTTCTACTAGAGAATAACCAGATCTTAGTGAGGAAGAATGTTAGACAAGTTTGAAAATATATTGATGGAAGTGATCTTAGTGACATGTGGCTTGTCTAGAAATGTACTTGCATGAAAAGGGGTGCACTCAAAGTGTATCTGTTATCCGAAGTAATATTATTAATAAAACAATGTCCAGTTGTTCCTTGCATTTCATCAAATTTACTTAGGAGAATTGAGGGAACATCTTTGAAGGGAAATCCAGTTGGGAAAGCAGGAATCTGTTCAATTTATATTTGATGTCTCTTTTAAAAGATGAGGCTTGCTTTCTGCCAAACAAACTACTACTCTTCTTTTTTCAGTTTATAAAAAAGAGGCAACATGAAGCATTTTCCAGGGCCACAGTATTTGCAAAGAGTTGATCATAACATCTATTTAGACTAAAAGTATTCTCTGATGGCATGGCTTCCTTTTTCAATTTTAGAAAAATCCATTGAAGACTCCATGTTTAAGATTCTGGAATGATCAGTAACCAAGATTTGAGATTTTTTTAAAAAGAGAAAACTACTTTATGGATTTCAAATGTGGTGTTTTTCTTCCTTCCCTCTTGCAGTAACATTATCTGCAGCTACACCAGCCTATTTTCGTGGATTCACATTGATTGCTTTGAAAGAAGGCAAAGAAGGAGACAAAGAAGAAGACCATGCTGGTACTTTCCAGGTGAGGAACAGTCTTTTGAACTATGGATTTAGAGATATGAACTAAAAGATGACCTCTGGCTTGGAAACGAGAGCCATACCTTTCTTTATATAGATTACCCATATCTTAAATTGTCACTGTAACAATGAAATAAATATTATAGCTTTAATCAAGTCAGATTAATATGAGAAAAGAATTGTAAGTAGGCTGTAGAATTCAACAAGATGCTGTTATATTCTTACATTTGTAATGCTATCTTTTGCCTGTTTACTTTGAAATCATTCCCATTGAAATTAGTGGGATTGTTGAGCCCAAGTAAGGTATACATTTTGCAGCCTTAACTATTTTGTCAAACAAAGAATTTGGAGGTTGTCCTTGACACTCAGCAATTCCAAATCCAGTTCAAATATTTTCTTGACACCATTATGTTTTTTTCCTGTACGTTCCAATGTCTTGACTAGCAACTCTCATTTGATCTTGGTGAGATTAACAAAATCTCTGCAGGAGATATCCAGCTATCATCTTTTGGAAGTAAGTCTGAATTATTTCAGTGTGACTTGCTTCCAAGTAAATACACAAGACCTGTATTTAATGAACTCAGATATGACTGCTCTTACAAATCTTAGAGATTTCTCAGAAAATAATTGTGACACTGTGCTAGGTTTCCTAATGATGCCAAATCCAAGCAACCCCCCCCCCCCCCCCGCCAAAGATTTTGCATAGCAGCAAAAATGATTTCCTTCTGGACAGAATAAGCGAGGATACTCTTCATGTCTCACTTCTAGTGAATTTCGGATGCAGAAAGTAGAAAATTGAATCATTACAGTACAGTAATACTGCTAATCAGCTGTTCTCACAAAGTTTTGATCAAATTAATATTTAGGGGTTTTTTAGTCACTGACTAAAAACAATATGTACTTAACTGAAGTTGCAAATCAAGCATTAAAGAATGTAGTATTAATTATTGACCTTAATATTAGTAGTTAGAGGCAAGAACTTGATTCATGGATAATGTCTTAATATACAATACAATTATTAATTAATCCTTAATGGCCAAAAGTATATTTGGGTGAATTGAAGCCACATATTACCATCTCTTCTATTAAAATAGTCTTTGTTGACAGACATAAAACACATAGGATCAAAGTATTCATATTACTCCTTTGGGAAGTACCAGGAATACAGGAAGATTCTAATCATTTTAGCTAGATGGAAATTAGTAATTTTATTCAAAATACAAAGAAAAAGATAAAATGCAAAGTAAATGAACTTCTCAAATCAGGGTTAGCTCTGTGACTTTGGTGTTAATATCCTTTTGGTCTGTCTGGTTTCATGAATAAAAGGTAACAGAATTTGCTTTAGAAAGACTTTGTTTTTTGTTAAAATAAAAATGGGGAATGGGCAACATCATTGCTGGAAATTAGAAAGGAATCCCCAAAAAAGGAAATATGGATACATTATTTTCTACTTTTCATTCCTTCCTCCCTTTCAATCTGATTTATATTCTTCCTTGTATTATTCTTAATGAATTAATTATTAAGTATTATTAATGAATAATTGTTAATTATAATTTGTTATAATTACTTGAATATTAATTAATTAATTGTGCCTGCTAATTTAGCAGGGAAAAAACACATTGGGGGTAGAGAGAACCTGTGGATTAGGCTCCAACTGGAGATAATTTTTTCCCCTGCAGGTAAAACATAGGATTCAAAGATTATTTTCCCCCCACCCCAAAAGGTTCTTCTGAGTGTTTTAGAAAAAAGAGCTGGAAAGCAGAGATAGATGGGTTAATCAAGGAATAACTCTGGTAAAATTCTGGTAAAATTTTACCTGATATATACAGTAAAGATTTAAAATATTTGATTGTAAATGTATTAACAGCGGCTAGGATTGTATTTGCTAAAAATTGGAAAAATGAGAAAATACCATCACAGGAGGAAATTATTAAGAAAATATTGGAATGTGCTGAAATGAGTAGATTGACATTTGAAATTAGAGAACAAGAGGATAAACAATTTTATAAAATTTGGGATCTATTCTATCAATGGTTAGACAATAAAATACAGTAATGAAATATGTAGACTCTTAGAAAATAATAAATATATAAAGATGTACTTCTTTTTTTGTTATCATATCTATAAAATGTTTTTAGGATAGATTTGGGAGGATTATATGAATTGTTATAAAATAAACTAAGTAAATTATAGTTATCTCGCAAAGTATGAATGAACAAAATTATAGTCAAACGATTGTTTAATAGTGATACTAGGGTATTCAATTTTTGATTGATAATATGAGTTATTATGCAATGTAACTGTAATTGAGACTATGCAATGGATCCACAAAAAAATTGTAAACCAACCGACACACTGCTTGTACATTTATGAAAGAAAGTTGGATGTTTTTATGTTTTATTTGTTTGTCTTTAAAAACCAATAAAACTTGTTTTATATATATATAAAAAAGGAATAACTCTACTGTCTGTAGTACCACAAATCTCTGCCTTTCATTTTCTTGAACTCCATTGGCTGAGACTTTACTGCTAATTACTTGTCTTTGCTTTAGTTTATAGCATATTCCTTGATAAACTTTCTATTTTATTTTGTTTAGTCTGAATAAAGGGTGAGGGGTAAGGAGTGTGACCTTTTGGAACAGGAATAAGTTACAGCCATATCTAGAAAAAATAGTCTTGATCATATCTTACTGGGAGCATCAAGTTTTCCTCAAATGAAATATTTTTATATTACTTTTTTTTGACAAACTTGTAAAGAAAAGACAAACTGTTGAGATTTTCGTATATTCATTTAGTTTGGCTAAGAATGCAGGCTTGTCAAAATGGTGTAGCTGGTTAAATGAGAATCTGATAATCGGTCTTAATAGACTGTTGTTACAAAACTAGAAATAGAAGTAAAAATGGCTGGACCACATTTTGACTGGATTTGGCCAATAGAAAGCAAAAAAAAGATATCCCTGAAGGATAATGTCACTATGGAAAAAGCAAAAAACAAATAAATTATTGACTTAATCTTGTTTGGCCCATTAGCTGGAAAAATACAATTTTGATTGAATTAGAATATGACCAAGAAGTAATAATAAAGCTGATTGGCCAAAGTTTTTTTCCAGAAATGTACTTAACATGCCCAAATACCTAGCAATTTTATAGATTCAATTAATGTTCAGGTTTCTTCTTTACTTTTCATGAAATAACATTTTAAAAAAATATGATTAACAAAGCATATCTCTCGGTTCAATCAGAATGACCTTTTCCTCTTTTGACTGCCCCTCAGATTTTTTAAAATCCAAGCTTCATACTTGGGTTCAATGAGGGAAATAGTCTGCAGTTTGTGTAAAATTACCTATCATTTTCATTTTGCTATAAATTGTACGTGACCTGGTTCCTCTCTTGCGACTTCTTAATGGAGTGTAAAACTGGAAATAACACTTCTGTTCGTGGAAGTTTGGATCTAGCCACATATAAAAAGGGGTGGTGACACCTCTCCTTTATCATTGTGGTTTCCTTCCTACAAACACCCAATATTTTCTGCTGTATTTTAATATTGCCTGAGGCTGATAAAATGCACTAATGATTAACTCAATCTCATGAAGACTATGAGGGATAAAATACAATTCTTTTTTGTTTATTTTCTTGTTTTGCACATTGAAGATGCAGTCAGTCCACCAGATAATGATTCTATAAAATATATCACAGTAACTTTTATTATGCCTGTGATGTTTTTGAAAAAAAGTCTGGATCATTTCAGCATTTCACAAATCGTGATAGCAAGGCAAAGCATGTAATGTTTGCTGGAATTTTCACCATAGCTTTTCTGTGAAAAATAGATGTGTAGTTGATGATAGCAATATTATCCACAGTTAAAAATGTGGAGTTCGGGAGATTGGAAAAATATTATTATTCTTACATATTTATCATTATAAACAATTCTGTGACGTGTTCTTAAGCACTTTAGAAAATATATATCACTAACTATTTTTGGAGAGCCACAAGAGTAGCAGATGACAAAAATAATTTCATTGTCTCCTATTCATAATTTCTTTTTCCAGGTAGGACAGAATATAAATGCATTCTGAGCATATTAGACATGCAGTTAATATATTTTATGTTCCAAACTTCAGGTAATCTTGTTCTCACCCCCTTCTTGCTTTTTGAAACATATTGTCCTTTATTAGTATTATTGAATAATCATGAATGTGATTTCCCACACCTGACTACAATAGTTGTCATGGGCCACAATCACTGATATGGAGGTTTGATGGTAGATGTTAAATTGCTGATCTTAATGACATCAGAGGAAGACAAATTATTCTACCTATCATTTAACATCAAAGGTAACCTCATCTGTAATTTTTGGCAGAAGTCTGGCTTTGTATTCATTATAGGTATATATGAAGAAATGATAATAAGTTCCATTTTCACTTTCCTTCTCTAAAGTTAGGAAAATATTGAAAAAAAAACATTAATATTGGTAATTAGGCTGAAGAATGCCTTCTGTACATATGTATTCAGGCTTGGATTCAGTAGGAAAGCTGCTCGAGATATTTCTTTCGGATTATAAAATAAATAATATCAGCCCATTACTGAAAGTTACTAAATATGATGCCAAAATTTTCTCTGCAGTGTTTAGATTTGCCAAACAAATGTGGCTGGGGAGAAAATGGCATTATACATGTGTCATGTCAAGAAACACATCATAAAAAGGAGAAAAAAGAGAGAAGCAATTTACATTATTTTGTATGCTAGTTGATAGGTGCATATCTGTCACTTTTAAACAATGTAGAATAAGATTTATTCAGTCTATAGAGTATGTGGTATAGAAATCAGTGTACGGGGGGGGGGGAAATAAAGGGATAATAATGTATAAAATTGAAATCTACTGTTTTCTAAAGTTCTGTTATTGTGACTTCATTATTTTTATAAATAATTCAAGGTTGCAAACAAATCTACTATTATCTTTCCTATTTTTCCCTACAACAACATTCCTGTGAGATGAGTTAGGATG